CGCCTCACCCGGGCGGGAGAAGTCATTGGATGATTTTTCCCCCCTCAAAAAAAAAACAAAAGGGTGACCTAAAGGTATTTTAAATTGAAAGCTAGGTCGTGACATGGATCGTAAAAAGAAGCGTGCACTTCTGTTATTGTTAAGGAGATACAATAAACAGAGACAGAAGATTTTGGGAAGATACGATTTTGATGCGCGATGCTAATCAATTCGCAAGTTCTTGCGATGCGTAGAGGGAGCTCGCACATTTTTGCGATGCGACGTCGCATCGCAGTTTTGTGTAGGTACGAGCCCTAAATCAATATTGATTTGTTTCCAAACACGTTGTGAAATTATGCGTCTTACTTTTTTTTATAGATGCGTTGGTAATGACAGTCAGAAGTACAGCCAAACGGCATGCGCATAGATTAAAAATTACGCAGCAATCAATATAATGTTTTCTAAGAACTTAATAAAATTATCTTAATAAAAACGTGTCGTGGTGGTTTAAGAGGCCCGCTTCTCATGCATAAGGGTGTAGTTCGAAACCTACCAACGGCAAGTACCAATGTGACTTTTTCCGAGTTATATGTACTTTCTAAGATTATCTAGACACCACTGACAAACGGTGAAGGAAAACATCGGGAGGAAACCTGGGTTTATAATTTCTAATAATTATAAGTCTGTAATCGCCAACCCGCATTGAGCAAGCGTGTTGATTAATGCTCAAACTTTCCCCGTGTGAGAAGAGGCTTTGCTCAGCAGTCGGCATTTATAGGCTGTTGATGATGATAATAAAAATTACGGATACGATTTTCAGATATTAATAGAATTCGTTTGTAGCAGGGTTTCCCAAACTATGGGTCGCGACCCATTGCTGGGTCGCAAGACTCGCAAGACTCGCAAGAAGCAAATTTTTAGTAAGTTTTGTCTGTAGAAAGACGCATTTGTCAACCGTCCTGTATTTAGTTTTATATACGGCTTATTCCTGAGTCCTGAGTTCTGGACCTTGATTTAGATAGATCGTAGTCCAGACAACTTTAAGCCGCGGAAGACTTAACGGGTAACCGGGGCTCCGGCTCGAAGTACAGGAGTAGGAACGGGTTGGTTTTTAGTCAGTAAGAGTCTGACACTCCCTCCCGCCTCACCCAGGCGGGAGCAGTCATTCGATGATAAAGTTCAGACAATTTATAGAGTTTCTTGTTTCTCTTCTCCATAGGAATGTACAGTTTGGAACGATCAAATAGGTTAACTAGAGGACGGACTGAATGACTGATACTGTAATTTGGTTTGACGTTCAAAAGTGCATTATATTGGTCTAATTCAAAGTGAAAGTACATGGACGACCGAATTTTACTCGGTGTTTCTAATTAGAAAAAAAAATGTAGAAGGAAAAATATACAAGAAATAAAATATGAAAAAGAAGATGAAATAGAAGAAACAAAAGAAAGTTTTATCTAAGTATTGTTTTATTATACGACTAAATAAAAAATACGTGTCTAATATTTTTTCATTACTTAACTGACGGACTAATTAGATTTTTATACCCTGTCATCATCCCTATTTGACTCATCTTATACTACTATATAAAGCAGAAGACTTAGTTTTTTTGTTTGTTTGTTTGTTTGAACGCGCTATTCCCCGTAACTACAAGTCTGATTTCAATAATTCTTTTTGTGTTGGATAGCGCATTTATCGAGGATGGCTATAGGCTAAAAAATATCACGCTACGACCAATAGGAGCTGAGCAGAGCGTGTGAAACCGCGCGGAAGTAGCGAGTCTTAGATGATAATCGAATCGATAGAGAAAGTAGGTACCTACTCTAATTATGTTTTAAATTCTTAAAACAATGGAATTTGTATAATTATGCGTGGTATTTAACAATAGGTTAATAGTAACTATAATACTGCTAATAAAATAAACATAACGAGCGAAATATGTTTAGAAAAAGACTATTAAATATTATTATGGAGTACTGCCTCGTTGGCCGTATGGTCGCAAGTGCGACTGCCGGGCAAGGGGTCTCGGGTTTGATTCCCGGGCCGGACAAAGTATTACTGGGTTTTTAAAAAAAAATCTCAGTAGTAGCAAGGAGTCTGGAATTGTGCCCGGTATATATGGCAATAGGCTCACACCCTATTCTAGGGAGTCATAACATAAATATATTGAAAAGTGGGTGTTTCTTCTGTGTGCACCTCTGCCTACCCCTTCGGGGATAAAAGGCGGGATGTTGTTATTTTTATTTGTACTCATCTTTAGGACGACACATGGAGAGGCGTGCCAAGAGGCTCATCAACGGTGATGTTCTTGTGGAGGGCCGACTTCAAAGCCTCGAACACAGGCGTAAGGTAGCAAGCCTTTCAGTCTTCTACCGGATACATTTCGGTGAGTGTGCGGGGGTATTCCACAACTTGATTGCCCCTAGTGCTTTCCATCATCGTATCACAAGACAATCGGCGAAGCGTCACCGATTCATGGTAGATGTCCCACCCAGACACGAAGCACTTCGCATCAAGCTTCCTTGTGCGTACTGCTAAGGACTGGAATTCTTTTCCAGAGTCTGTGTTTCCTGAAGGGTATAAGCCTGGGTTGGTTAACTTATAACCGTTTTTTTCAGTTGGTTAATTAACCCGTGGTATGCTGGAACGCAGATATACGCGACAAAAAATGTGTTTTTTATTCATAATCATTATCATCATAACATCACGCCTTTAACCCCCTAAGTGATAGGCAAAGGTGCACATTACGGTACTTAACTCGTCGAGTACCGGTTTTGTAGACACAATTATAGAACAATAGGTTGCGGTCACCGGTGACCGCTTGGTGTTTGACAGTTTAATGCCACTGTACAATGTAACACCCACTTTTCACTATTTATGTTGTGAGTCCCATGTAATAGGGGGTGAGCCTATTGCCATATACCGGGCACATTTTCAGAATTTGAGTTTTTTAAACAGTCCAGCCCAGGTCGTCGTGGTGGCCCGGAGGTGTAAGACGCCCGCTTCTCATGCATGAGGGTGCGGGTTCGAAACCTACCAGCGGCAAGTACCAATGTGACTTTTTCCGAGTTATATGTACTTTCTAAGATTATTTAGACACCACTGACAAACGGTGAAGGAAAACATCGTGAGGAAACCTGGGCTTATAACTTCTAACTATAAAATTGGAATCGCTAACCCGCATTGAGCAAGCGTAGTGATAAATGCTCAAACCTTCTCCGTGTGAGAAGAGGCTTTGCTCAGCAGTGGGCATTTATAGGCTGTTGATGATGATGATGATGATGAAAAAGCCCAGTAAATGACTGCACGGTTGGCGCGGTGGCTGGGCAACTGGCTGCCGCGCAACGTGTCGCGGGTTCGATTCCCGCACGGAACAACTCTTTGTGTGATCCACAGATTGTTGTTCCGGGTCTGGGTGTGACGCACCCACACAGCGACACAGGAGAAAAACCTAGTGTGGGGCAACGTTTTTTTAAAGAAAAAAGAGAAGAAAAAAAATTCTTTGATCGACAATCGGGACCCCTTGCTTGGCTGACGCACTTATGACCACTCGGCCAATGAGGCGGTCAGTTTTCTATTATATCGTATATAACGACATTCAAGTGGGTAATACAATAGAACCTTCTCGTAATTGTATCAAACACTTTAACACAATACTTATGAAACAGATTGCTTATCTACACTAATATTATAAAGAGGAAAGATTTGTACCTATTTTTGTATCTTTGTAATGAATAGGCTCAAAAAGTACTGGGCCGATTTAAAAAATTCTTTCACCAATAGAGTGCTACATTCTTCCAATTTGACATAGGCTACATTTAATTTTGAAAAAAAATTAGGGATCCTTGGTAAAATTTGAACAATGTAACCGAAGGTGTAGAAAAATGAGTCTTAAAATGTCTTTCGTCGAATGCGCTGCCGAAACTATTAGCGATAGAACAAAATAAAGTACTACAACAATATTGAAGAACATCATAATGTTTACAAAAAACTCCGCGGTAGCATATGTCCAACTATTATAGTTATAATGTCACTACAAAAATGCAAATTTCCAAAAATAAATAATTGTCTACCCCGTGCGAAGCCGGGACGGGCTGCTAGTATAAAATAAAGTCGCTTTCCGCCGTCTGTCTGTCTCTATGTATGCTTTTTGATCTTTAGAACTACGCAACAGATTTGGATGCGGTTTTTTTAATAGATAAAGTGATTCGTAAGGAAGGTTATATGTATAATACATGCATATTGCACCCGTGCGAAGCCGGGGCGGGTCGCTAGTCCTATCTATATATATGTATATAAAAATGAAACCCGTTTCCCGTTGTCACGCCATAACTTGAGAACGACTAGACCGATTAGACTGATCCTTTTTTTGTTGTGTTTGTTATTGTCAGGAGAAGGTTCTTACGATAGAAATCGGAACGGAAGAAAACAGGATTGCGCGTACGAAGTCGCGGGTAGAAGCTTGTGATGCACCTAATATAAGTTATATTTAGGTAACCACAGAATAGTTAATTGAGAGATAATAGCGCTCAAACATATACATACATATATACATACAGACTATTCAATCTGAGAACCTTCTTTTGTTTAAGTCGGTTAAAATGCCTTAAATTCTGCAAAGGGGATAGGCAGAGGTGCACATATTTAGTTTAGCGCTCACTTTTAGCTATGTTTAGTAACTTGTCATTAGCAGCTAGTTGACTGTTGCACCTATATTGATTACAGTTTCGGTCTGGTTTACTTGACCCGGGTATTGAACCCTAGACTTCTTCCTTAGTAGTTATACTTGCAATTACTTATTGGCTAACGAGACATCGATTACATAGGTTTTTTTTAAGGGGCAAAATCATCGAATGACTGCTCCTGCCTGGGTGAGGCGGGAGGGAGATCCAGACTCTTACTGACTAAAACCACCCCGTTCCTTCTCCTGCACGTCGAGCCGGAGCCCCAGCAATCCGTTAGGTTCTCCGCGATATTATATAGGTAAACGTTTACTATTTAAAAATAAATAAAACACTTACGGCTCATCCGGATGGCTCCCATGATCAACTTCGAAAGGCTCACAAACACTAATTTCTTCAATCTCTTCAATAATTTCTTCTATAATCTCCTCCTCAGTCTCACTCTCACTTCCACTCACTTCTCCTTCACTCTCACTCTCACTGCTCTCACATTTGTCTGTAACCTCACTTTTATCACCTATTTCTATAAACCCACTATCACTATTGTCACTGGAAATCCTTTTCAACGAGTCTGGACTTTCAATTTTTATAGTCACTTTTTCATTATCATTTTGACTACCATTAACATTGATGACAGTAGTGTTATCAGCGAAAATAATGTCGTCAGCGTCTTCTAGAAATTCCTCATCTTCAGAAGAGAGGGACTCGAAGGAGGAACCGACTTCCTCGTCAGTTTGTTGCTCACCATCATCGAAGACTATGTGTTTTCTGAATGTGACTCTTTTCTTCCCACAGTCCGACCTGTCGTCGTCTGAACAGCCTTCCGTATCGGACCTAGGAGGCTTTAAGTTGGACTTCTTCGATATTCCAGGCGATTCAACTTCTGTGTTCACAGCTTCTTTGTTTTCATTGTCCGCATCCAACAATTTGTCCAATTCATCTTTTAATTCATTTCTATAATTCAAATTTCGTTCGTCAATGCTCTCGTAAAGAGGTTCGCTCTTTATTTTGCTATCTGTCGCACCCATCTGTTTGGTCTCATTTAACTTGTCTACAGTACAGTCTATAGTGCGCGCGATCTCACGAAGTAATGCCTCCGCATGTTTTTTTTCATCCAAATCAGGATCGTTCACGTACACAAGAGACACGTGTTCCTTATTATCGTTGCTCTTAGAATATTTCTGCAGTACCAAAGCTTTAACAAAGTCCGCATCGTCTGGTGTATTTTTGGCTTGTGTGGGAACGGGTACGTCACTCGCCTTCCGATCAGAATTACTCCTTTGCAATACGTTCGTCTCTTTCAAGGGGCTGATCCTACACGATTCAGTGCGCACATTTCTTCGCTTCCCCTTCTTTCTTTTCCCAGCCATAATCTGCAGGATAGCACCGACGCCAGACTTCTGGTTATTATAATCAGTCTCAGGTAACAATAGATTCACTACATCTTTGCGTATTGTGTTGAATTTTTCGTTTGGCTCTTCGTTTCGTTGCGCGCGCGTCGTAACTGATGTTAATTTCGTATGGTCGGGGTTCGGGAGTTTTCGGGCGTCGTCGGGCGTAGCCGGCGCGGCCTCGGGTTTCCCGCCTTTCCTCTTGAAGAAATTAAACATGGCGGCGTTATGTTGTCATGTCCGCCTGGCCCGACGTTGTCCTAACGACTGGTGGCGATCGAACTGTAAATACATTCACAAACGAATGTATTTCGCGGTTGATTTAGTGCAGTGTACGTGTTTTCTTTTTTTCTATTGATAGGCGTAATATTATGTAAACACATGCATTATTGCGTTGTCTAATATTACAATAACACTCGCATTTTTGTGTCAAACTATTTAAATGGAAAAATACATGTGTAATAGTACAAAGTTCAGGTACATTGCCGAGTAAATTATTTCTCTTAACTAAAGTACTAATAGTAAACACTCCGTCTAATTTATAGGCTCCTGGTATTTCAAGCGGATCTGTTTATCTAAAATGTTAAAATAACTTTTTCTAGGTGATTATAAAACTAAACTGTAATTTATTGCTAAATCCCAAAAATTTCCGTAGTATCATCACGCATTTGGAAAACAGGAACTCATGGTGATTAGTGAACCTCGTTACCATCAGTTTACTGGACAATCTCTACACTACACAAGTCACTGTTTACAAGTCAACATAAGCTCGTTACGATGCGTACTTGTGTCCCTAGACAGTGGACCTCGCTACCATCAGTTGGCTGGACATCTATACTACACGAGTCACTGTCTACATGTCAACATTAGGTCATGACGATACCAGCGTATGTGTGTCACTGGACAGTGAACCTCGCTACCATCAGTTGGCTGGACATCTACACTACACGAGTCACTGTTTACATGTCAACATTAGCTCATGACGATACCAGCGTACTTGTTTCCCTAGACAGTGAACCTCGCTACCATCAGTTGGCTGGACATCTACACTACACGAGTCACTGTTTACATGTCAACATTAGCTCATGACGATACCAGCGTATGTGTGTCACTGGACAGTGAACCTCGCTACCATCAGTTGGCTGGACATCTACACTACACGAGTCACTGTTTACATAACATAACATCACGCCTTTTATCCTCGAAAGGGTAGGCAGAGGTGCACATTATACCACTGTACAATGTAACACCCACTTTTCACTATTTATGGTATGAGTCCCATGTAATAGGGGGTGAGTCTATTGCTATATACCGGGCACAGTTCCAGACTCCGTGCTACTACTGAGAATTTTTTTTTTAAAAACCCAGTGATACTTTGCCCGACCCGGGAATCGAACCCGAGACCCCTTACCCGGCAGTCGGAATTGCGACCACTCGGCCAACGAGGCAGTGTTTTCAAGTCACTGTTTACATGTCAACATTAGCTCATGACGATACCAGCGTACGTGTGTCCCTAGACAGTGAACTTCGCTACCATCAGTTGACTGGACAATCGGTATATTATAAAACAGTTTACATGTCAACATTAGTCAATGACGACAGCGTAAAAGACCTTGGTTTTCTCGTAAATTACCGACTGTGTCACAAATAGATTCATTTTTATTTCAACGAAGATTTTCACGTAAAAAATGGCATTTCCTGAGTGAAATTATATGTTGGATATACTATCTGTAATGTAAACAAATCGTTATACGTACATTGGTATTCTTAAGATCAATTTCTTTTAAAAAATACATCTTTCGTGGTACATTTAAACGTTTTTCTGGCCTTAACCCAACTAGGTTGGTGCCAGTGTCTCTAGTGGTTTTCTTAATTATAGTGATAGGTCGACGTTTGACCAACATCTCGCCTGGTAGTGAGCGATGATGTGGCCGACGATGGAACACGCCTACCTATGAGCACTAGGGACTTGAAGACACCCGTGTTAGTTTTTGTCGGAAAACATAGATTCCGGATGGCGGTTCGCACAAGTAAGCTTGATGCGAAACGCTTTGTGCGAATGGGTGGTCAATAACTCACTCACTTGGTCAGACATTATTATTGTCCTTTAACCTCATTCAAATATAATTAATGATGTTTATTATTCATTATAAGGACATCATAATATATTACAAGCATCTTTACATAATAGATAGCTGCACATATAAATTAATGCGACTGAGACTGCACGGTTGGTGCGGTGGCTGGGCAACTGGCTGCCGTGCAACGTGTCGCGGGTTCGATTCCCGCACGAGACAACACTTTGTGTGATCCACAAATTGTTGTTTCGGGTCTGGGTGTCATTGTGTATGTGAACTTGTATGTTTGTAAACGCACCCACGACACAGGAGAAAATCCTAGTGTGGGGCAAGGTTTAAAAAAAAAAAAAAAAAAAAAAGCCACTGTAAGTACAATGTAACACCCACTTTTCACTATTTATGTTATGAGTCCCATGTAATAGGGGGTGAACCAATTGCCATATACCGGGCACAAATCCAGACTCTGTGCTATCACTGAGATTTTTTTAAAAACCTAGTAATACTTTGCCCGACCCGAAAATCGAACCTGAGATCCTTTGCCCGGCAATCGCACCTGCGACCACTCGGCCAACGAGCCAGTCGAATTACAGTCAAAAACAATAACATGAAACAAATATTAAAAAACAGAGAAGACGGCGCAAAAAGACCAGAGCTCAGCTTAAATGCCGCGCGACCCGAGCGCAATAGTTACCCGAACTTATAATAAGGGTAGGGCTCTTACGTTCGACTGGTAGTACCTACGATGGTAAAAGGGAGTAGGGGTAATAAGGTTGTGTAATTCACAACATATCACGTTGTTTTCTCTAAGATTTATACTATCAGTAGCAACGAAGACTACAGTCCGTCTGATGGTAAACAGACACCTACAACTGCAACACTAGAGGTATCACGATCGCGTTGCTGACGATGTAGGGAACTGCTTATTTGCGTACGTGCCAACTAGTCAAATTCAATATTATTTTCGAACTGTGAAAAACGAGAGTTTTCTATGAATTTTGTACGAGATTGTGTATTGTGACGTCACGTTTTTTTAGCGTCAAACAGCTTATTTATTTGTTAAAAAATTGCTGGATTTTTTTTAAGGGTGGAAAATCATCGAATGACTGCTCCCGCCTGGGTGAGGCGGGAGGGAGTGTCAGACTCTTACTGAGTAAAAACCACCCCGTTCCTTCTCCTGCACGTCGAGCCGGAGCCTCGGTAACCCGTTAGGTTCTCCGCAACTCCGAATCGGCATCAGCCACAGAAATAAATGGCTCTTTAAGGCGCGCGGAACGCGACGCGCCGTACGCTCGGGTCTGTGTCTGGTCGGGCAGGGAGTCGAAATAATTTATTTTTGACTAAAGAAAGTACTCAACTGAGTCAATTTTCGAATTCTTTCGAACTGGCCTGACTGTCATATCGAACAGTCACTGTTGCAGTTCTAGAACCTCCTAGTTACCAGAATACTCCTGTCTTTAACAATCGTCACGTAGTCACGTCACAAAGTGTACTATTTTAAACTGTGTTTCACCTAAAATATTGCTAATTATGTTGCAAACGAACCGCTGCCAATGACTGTTATATTGGAACTAATCGTTCATGACCTTGTCACGTCTCCTTGTTAATCTTGCTTGTCTAAAGACATAAAATCATGGCATTTAATGATTTAATCAAGGAGCCCTTAAACTATTAAGTGAATCAAGTTTTAAGTGTACGAGAGCCATGCTTCATGCATGCACGAATGGGCCGGCTCGACCGGAGTGATACCACGGCCTCACAGAAAACCGATGTGAAGCAACGCTTGCGTTGTGTTTCGTCGTGTGAGTGAGGTTACCGGAGGCCCAATTACCTTCCCCTTCCCCAATCTCCCCAATTCCTGAATCCTCAACGATCCTTAAACTCCTAATCCCCAAAAGGCCGGTAACGCATTTGTAATGCCTTTGGTATTCCAAGTCCATGGGCGACGCCGATTGCTTACCATCAGGTGATCCGTCTGCTCGTTTACCGACTTATGGCATAAAAAAAGTGAATTTATTTCTGCAAATAGGCTACAAGGCAGCACTTTTACACGTCAATTTTATGCTTATGGGACGACGTGCTCCATCGCAGACCGCATCATCGCTTACCGCCAGGCGAGATAGAGGTCAAACGTCGGCCCATCAAATATAAAAAAAATAGATGCAGATTTTAAATCCCTGAACCTTTTAGACTACGATGTCTAACCTGCACCTGCATTTGGAGATTATGGCAAACACTCTTATATAGAGGAGACTCATTGTCCAGCAGTGGACTGTTGGCGATGAACCGTATCTTCGTACAGCACTTATATCCATAAGATGAGAAGGTCAGTGTCTCGTCTAAAAATAAATTTAAATGTGAATCGAGCTGTTTGTGCGAGAGTTTTAGTGATGGACGCGTTGCTCGATAGACTGGATATCGATATGTCGATGAATTTGTTGTAAAGAATAATTTGTTATAATAATAATACTTTGACGCCTAAATTCAGGGTACAATTTTTGATGTATTTCTTTTTTTTACTTTCGTTTTATTTTATAAGTTGTAAGTTGTTCTAAGTTGTAAATATTTATGTAGTTAATTTAATTATAGTTTACATTACTATAAAGAATACATCCCTTCAAAAACATTCTGTAAAAAACTAGCCAAGTCTCGATGGAGCTGCTAGTTTATCTATAAAAAGTAATGAAATATAACAAAGTCGTGCCAAGTCTAAGGTTCCTTATTGCGATTTCGTTATTATTATAGTTAATCTTGTGTCAATATGACAATGCTACTGCACGATGTAACTCCCACTTTTCACTATTTATATTATAAGCCCCATGTCATAGGGGGTGAGCCTATTGCCATATACCGGGTACAATTCCAGACTCCGTAATACTACAGATATTTTTTTTTAAAACCCAATAATATTTTACCTTATCCGGGTTCAATACCCGGCCAACGAGGCAGTCAATTGAGACGACTACCCGTAAATAATAGTAACCTTTGAAAAGATGTATTCTGAGACGTCATTACCTATAAAATTTGAATGACTCAAAAACCACGCGTCATTAATTTATGCCAGCACGCAATTGTATTGTTTGGTGTCATCAGTAATTTAAAAAGATGATGCAAATTTTTTAAAGGACATGGTGCGTTCTTTTTTTAATAATAAGCCGTTAATTGAGCAGATGGATCACCTGGATGGTAAGCAATCGGCGTCGCCCA